CGGATTATACTCAGCCGTCAGGGACTATCTTCATCATAGGCTTAGCTAAGGGATTCCTTCAGCCTAGAGAGGCATATTGTGTGTTACGGGGGATTGGGTCAGCGACAATGATGCAGCATCATCTTACAACGCGGAATATGATGGGTTAAAGCTGAGAGCTTTTCGTCTGCTTAGGCTCTGTTTGAAATACCACCCTGATAAGGGAGGCGAGCAGGCGACCGATCATTTCCATCGTATCAAGATGGCCTACGACACATTATCTGATCCTAGAAAGAAAGTGAAGTAAGCCTACAGTGGTGAGAGGTTCACATAGGGTGACCATCAGGTTTGACCAGGCTTATTTCTATGCAAGACATTCTGCTCCTCGCAATTTCAAACGAATACCACGTAAGAAACTCCGTTACATACCATACCATCTTTTAGCGAAATCATCAGAGCCCTCTCCAGTGGAACCTTCATCGAAGCGGCCGAGAGTCGTCCCTACAGCAGGAGTGGCGACGGGCTCGTCCGGAGTTAACTCGCCTAGTGAGAGTGTATCAGGAAGTACTACCCTTACCCACTTCTTATCACATTATCAATCCTGTTGTCGGATAGGCGTAAGTCCTCCGTCCGAAGACATCACATTAGATGGCGACTTGGAGGGTATGAGTATCACTAAGCTGAAGTGTATAGCTAAGGTAGGCTAGGCATCCCTAGGGTGGTGATAGTGATAGGATTACAATAGGCTAGAGGGGTCGATATTGCGACATGCATTGAGAAGATTGATATCATTACTGCTTTGAAGAAGGGATTAGAGGCACCAGCCGCTACAGTAGTGCATAGGGTTAGCTGTATGAGGTTGATGGTAGATTTAGGAGGTGAAGAATGATAAGGCCCCAGGAGCTACGGAGCAGCCGAAGTCACCAACGAAGACGGCGAGTCGAGTCGCACCAAAACTCCCTGAGAATAGTAATAAGGGCGACTCTGACTAGAGATTAGGGGTGCTTTCAGATGATATTGGGAGTCGTCAAGCAGCATATGAGCAGCAGATAGCGTCCCATGTGGCAGAGGTGGCACTTTCTAACGGTAGCCTTGCAGCTTCGACGGCTCTCGTTGAGAGGTTATCGAAGTTCCAACGATTGTTGGATTCATCTGTGGTCTATGCTACTACTGATCATTTTACGGCGCTTTCGGACTTGCAGAATCGTATGGAGGGGAATCGAAGTGAAGGGAAGCCAGAGAGTAGTGGTAGTAAGAGTACGATATCGCCACGAGGGAGGTTTTCTAGTGCGATTCGAAGTCACCTGAATTCTCTGGTTTCCGGGGTAAACGCGATTTCTGAGGTGAAGAAGTCTTTGACGCACTTATCTGACCGGTTGAGAGATGTAATGAAAGATATCAAGCGGAGCGATGCAGAGTTGATCGTGAGTAGTAGGGGGATAAGTGGCGAGATTAGGCGGTATCAGGAGTTGATAAAAAAACTGTCGGAATCAACGGAGGAGGGCGTGGATGAGGAGCATAAGGGGTCTACTGGGGAGAAGGAGGCCCGGAAGATGAATGTGAATCGCCTTGCTGGGTTCAAGGATACGTATGGTGGTGCTCCATCGTTTAGCAGTGGTATTCCCTGTAGTGGTAAAAGTTGGTCGGACTTACTACCCCCTCGAGCCGCTCGACGTGTTGCTCAATCGCAGCCAGAGGGGAACCCGGAAAAAGGGAAGCCTGATTCGCATGGTGAGGGTCAGCGTACGGGCTCGGAAACTGTTGCTCATCCGAAGACACCGGATAAGGTCGTCGAGGGATCAGTGAAGCACACTGAGGTGTCACAATGTGGCGATGAGTCGGTTAAGTTGGAGAAAACGTGTGAGGATAGTTCCCGTCCGGCGCGACGATCTGTGACGGTTAAGATTCCAGAGATGTGGAGGAAGGGACGTCGGGTGCAGTTTGATACCAATTTTGGAGTTGTCCGATTCACCCCACCCGACAACAGCAGTCCGGGGGATCTGATGACTTTCGATCCATCGACTCGGATGGTTCGCAAACGGCAGCCTCTGGCAGCGCGGAAACCCTCAGAAGGGGATCCTAAAGTTATTTGGGAAAATGGGAAAGAATTTGTTTTACTGGACTAGAAAAACCGGGCTGTTAAGTACATTACTACGTCCTCAGCATTTTTGTATATTATTGTTGTTATTCAGCTCTGCATATACTATTGCCACCGATTGTCATCATCAGATCACGCTTCTCTCGAAGACTGTTATTTGTGTTGGTGGTTTTCTCCCCTTCGGGTACCGGATAATACAGTACCTAACTGTAAGGGGTCTACTTCGGTACAAGCAGAGCCCGTCCAGCTGTGAGAAATAGTGTTTGATAACGATGGGGAAAATGTGAAACATAGGAAACTGATTTAAGAATGTGTTCCTAGCCATATGGAGAATTCAAAATGGCTTCTTCCCGGGTACATTATAGGTTTCTAGATGATTCTCTGCTCACAAGCGAATTGATGGTTCGATGATGTTGAGCATGGCGAACGCTGTGTCTATCAGTTGTGTTATATGAGATTATCTTCAACGTGTTTTAGCCTAACTTCATTCGTAGCAGTGATTATACATAAGTTTCCATGAGAAATCATATGGTCATCCTTGTTGGATTCATGAACTTGTTGTTTTTCTTCGGCCGACCGAAAGACCACCAGTATTCGGGCAAGAGTCCAGGCGATATAAACGATGTTACATATCTTGAATGCTGATTCACGTAACACTCGAGATTATCCAGTATATGTGGATGTCCAAGGTCGTTGCGTTGACTAGTGAAGGAGATATTCTCGTTACAATGACGGATTGCAATTACATCACCTCGTGGGACAGAATCGTCTTGTCAGGCTGTGATGATTACGCAGACGGAAGATTCTGACGGTTTCAAGATACTCTTGATTCGCCCGCTGATAATGAAGATTGTGCATTGTGAGCATTGTGGTGTATATGGTCCTACTCAGCCTCTGTTTCATTCATCATAGTAACCAATTCATCCAGCAGTTATATGTCGTCAAAGAGTAGTGTTCAAGAGTATGGTCCTACAGCGGACTCTAGCAAGGCTACAAATGGTCCGATCTGTCGGTCTTTCTTTCCCCCTTTGCTTAGGCAAGGTCCTCATCAGAAAGGAATCGGAAGTATGTGTATATCGGGAGTCACATAGTCGGGACCGAATTTTGGACTTGAACAGAAAAGTTGCTACTTGCACTCTTAGCTGATCTTGCAATTTCTCAACGGAAATCTACGCAACTCGATACGATGTAGACGGAGCTTGAGGCCCTCACCAATTTATGGGGATATCATCGCTTGTGGTGATGGTTGTGTCTCCACTTACCATCCGGGAAGGCTCTGGTGTTGGCCACTTACATGAGATTAAGGATGGTATAGTCAACGTCACTTAACAAAACGGCTCGGTAAATCGGCTGTTATCATGATGATGAAGTTCCGTTAGGTTTGCCCATATCCTTTTCAACTCTCAAGGAATGGTCTCTCACAACGCCAGAAGGGTAGTAGGTAGTAGTTGGGCCAGCGTATGTGCTTTTTTTGATGGAAACAGAACTACGCACTTGTCAACATGGTATTCTATACGGATCCTGAGTGAAGGAATGATGAACAGTCTTGACCAGTGAAATAAACCGATTCTCCAGCGGTCCAGAAGAGAGGGCCGTCAGCTGAATGACCTCGCCTTGCTGCAGGGGGTTGTTTAACATCCTAACACTGCCATAGATTCGGAGTAGCGGAGTTGAGGTCTACCGCTGCTCACTATATAACTA